AATAGGTAGAAAGAGTGGGTGAAAACTTATCGAGTTCTAGGTCACTTCGAATTAAAGTTTAGGATTTTTACCATAGCATTGGCACTACCATTCAAAGATACATGTGTTGCTATCAGTTGTATATGGCCTGCAACGTGAAATTGGGCGATGGGACACAATGAGACCACGCACAAGTCACTGCTGGCATGCTCCATACAAATCTCGCCAAATTCAATGAAATTTAGAGGAGCTGAAGGACGTCTGGGCGAACGGCGGCTTGTATCAGATTCCCTGACAATTCCTGGGATAGCATGCCGGTTGCCACAATCCCACCTCGTCTTTGGCTACTTTTCGTTTTTTGGCTAAATTTTTCTATAGAGATGAATATCTGGGAGGGTGTCGCTACTGTGCATACGGCCAATATGACCCAGGACCGAGTCCCGAACAGAATCTCCAAACATCGAGGCGGCTTATTAGTGTCAGGCAGGTCGAGGAAGACAAAAAACGGAATTGTATGCTCACATTATTTTCAAATCACTAGAGAATTCCATAACCGTTAAAATGATTAGCTTTTTCGAAACGTGCACTCAGTAGTCATATGTACGAGGAACATTCAAAAAACTGATTAATCGTAGCTTTTTTTTTACTTATTATTCAGGTGTAATAAGAAATTCGAACAGGAGAAGATTTAATAGTTTATCGTTAGACTGCAGTCATGAATGTGGGGTTCCGATAAGTGATTATCTCGTTAGTCAAAGAAGTAAAGAGCCTATCCAATTACCCTTTTTTTCATAGTAACAACTCACCAGAAACTGTTGCACTGCTGTCACACGGGACCTCATTAGCTCTGAATTGAGGGATATCATTTTCATACAGGCTATAAACTGTCATTTCCCTGACTAGACTACTCTATTCATTGTAATCCAAATATATTGTTTGAGATTTGTCTGTAGGATAGGCAAGGGAGGGAGGGGAGCTGGTCGACATATAGGAACCCGCATTACAGGAGTTTTGCCAACGATCAGGGGTGCCCCCATTTCGGAGATGTTGGAATATGGAGGTTTACAATACCCATGGTAGCCCCTCGACCAAGCGATGGAAAAAAATTCGGCTGATTCAATTGAATTCAATAAGAATACCAGTCATTTTGGGAATTTCCCAGGAATGGGAATCGTCAAAGTGAATCGTCCGACGGAAGAAGATGCTTTTCCGCAAATTTCTTACACAAAACCAAACCTATCATTCTGATTGAAGCATTAGATGATTCAGCAGTCGTCCTTGCAAAGCCAATGATTTCGGAGAACAGTTCAGGCAAATGTTATGACTAAATTAAAGCCAATACCCCTAATACTGTCATACGGTAGCAATGTTGTCTGAGTGTTTAATGATTTTCAAAGTAATCGTTATCGAAAATATAAGACAACTGGAAATCATTCATGATATGTGAATACAGCGAACTTAGCCGAGCATCCGAATACGCAATGAAATACGTAATTGAGGATAAAGTCTTTTGGCGATAGTCAACCTGTCCGGGAGATTACTTTATCCCCTAACTCGACTTTCATCCAGATGTAGTATTGTATTATTGGAAGCGTAAAGGTCCTTTCCAACGAATTGCAGTGTCTAGCCGGTGTAAAAGTAATTATCCACCCAGGTGATTCTGGTGCCAATTCACCAACCCTGGAGGAATGAAAACTCGGTTTGCCTGGATGGGTACCGAACCGGGACCCAATTCTTGGGTAGGCCATCTGCGTGTGGTAGAACGATTGCAATCAGTTTCCCTACCGATGGTTCATACTCTTGGAACACGTCTACCAAGATTCTGACCGTCATCTAAACTAGAGATTCAGATTCTTGTTGATTATCTACTCCGAAACCATATGATTATTCAAATTTTTCGAAGTTCACATAAAAACGACACAAAAATTAGATTCATCCTACAATCTAGGGTTAAAGATCTACAAATAGAGTTGAGTATTTCGTCCGAAGATTTAGCTCTCATTGTCGCTTAGGAACTTGAAATGTACCTCCTGAAGGTTATTTCTGGATCAAAGAGAAATTTTTATGCCCAACATAACTTCTCTTAATTGTAAAGTTCAACAAAAACCCTGTGAAAAGACTCACTAAAGGTCTTTATGATAAGTAGTGGGCAGTTAGCGGTTTCACATATTTATTAGTTATCAATAGAACAAATAAAAACTTTGTACATCAATTCATATAAATCTATATTGGAAAGTAAATGTGGACGTTGAGAATCGATTGTAGGAGATTATTGGGGTCGGATTGTTGCTGCTCGTAAGGATTCGATTCAATGATTCCGGGCAGCANATTCTGAAACGGCAAATTTTGTAATTGAATTTACAGGATATGGTGCGACAATGGCAAAAGTGTGATGGGGCCTAAGCTCAGCAAGATTTTCCTTACTCCCGGGGATGGTGAATTAATGCCAGAATCATTTGCGAAAGCAAAAACACTGACTTTCACTCTCCCTGTGGGTAGTCTCTACAAGTCATTGCATAGTTCAAACAGGTCCATGAACTCCGGAACCTGATGGGACTCGATGGCTAGGGCATGCTCCAAAATTGGACCAATGAGCGGGAGAAAATTCAACTTTTCACATCCAAGAATGTGAGGCCTGTGGAGAAATTTCTAGTAATCGTCATTGATTGCACCTCTAAAGTGCCCCACCCCATGATCACGCCTTTATTCCAAGTCTTCAGCGGCTAAGATTTGCTTACAGAACCTAGAACAGGCGTAGGCAGGGTGCTGACAGTCCCCTGTCTTACCTAGGGTTTGTAATGCCTTTGTCGGCCATAATCTTCGGTTCGATCGAATTCAGCGTACAACCGTTGTGACACTGAGAATTCTGCAGTGATGTGACTTGAATTTGGATTCGTCGACCAGCTGGAGCCTGAATTCAAAAAATTTCGGGATCCTTAGCAAAAATGCCTTGATAGAATGAAGCCTGAAGAGTTACCGTAATCCAGTGGTGACACTCGGTGGACGTATCACGGACTCCTCCAGCTGATGAACCGAACGTATACTGCTTAGACTGCCAGCGGTCGGTGGCCGTAAGCATCTCGCCACAACCTGGCGGCTGGAAATTCGTTTCTCGCGTTAGTTTGGACTTTGCAACGTAGTTCCATCTGTATAACTGACCCGTTGATTACATAGGGCTCCACCATAGCCGGCTGGGCAGTTGCAGACGGCACAATTCCGAGGATTCGGTACTCCGCCATTGAAACAAATTGTTCCTCTCGAAGTACATCCAGCTGAAAGGCATTGGCGATTATTTGACAATTGACAATTCTGAATTCATCAAGCTAATGAGGAATTTTTTTCGATTCCTGCAAGCAGTGGTGCACTCAATTAGGCCCTGCGGAAATTATTAGCAAAAATTTGCAGTAGTTCATTACGAAGAGTTGCAGGAAAACTGTGAGCAATACAAAATAGAAAAATACTCGAATAATATATTTTCTTCTATTCTCAGTAACCTTACTTCAAGTCGAAATCAAATGGTAATCGGGCAAGAGGTGAATGTCAACTATTACCAAGTAACAAGTAGTTTTCTAGGTGAGCTTTCTTCCCACAATCATCCCCTCAGCGCCTGATCCCACTCCAGGAAGTTGCAACAGAGGTCTATCAGATCGAAGATATCATATCAAATTTTTCCAGGCAAAAACCCTACATCGTTAATACACCTTCTTCTGACATCTGTCCAAGAATGACTATTTTAGCTACTTTTCCCATAAATAGCTTATTTGAAGTCTATTTAGAAAACCGGCAGCTCACCATTGCATCCATAATGATCATTGAGCATCTTGATGTCATAAAACGATATAATTCGTGATCCAAGAGTTCGAAGATACGTTGCATCCAATGGAATCAGCGAGTTACCTTTTGTTGAGAAACTGAAGTGGTGCTACTATTTTTTGTTGATTTTAGGATATCATAGCTGCGAGTTCCACCCGGGTCATTCAAAATTACTATTCTGAAAGGCATGTTTGAAAATAGAAAGGACAGCATTACTCACGATCTTGCATCATAATGCATGTAACTTCCGTATTCGTACGGTGTGTAGTTAATTATTCGGCTTGCTGGTAGTTTGATATAGTTGTGCAGCATAGAGGTCTAAAATGGAAACTTGTAGCAGGAACAAATCGCAAAATTAATTGAATAAGTCTTGAGACTGAACTTTAGCTCCCAAATTAATTTAATAATGTATTTACTACTCATCATACCTAAGTAAACTCAAGTGTTTCTCTTCCTAATAGGTAAATTCAATAGCTTACTGGCACTGATGATAAGTCCACCCGTAGAAATGAGTCCCGATCATCTCGCATTTGAGTGTGCCATACTCCTAGAGCGTGAGCAAATTCGTGTGCTGCTATTCCAATCTGGAAGTTTGTCAAATGCGAGAACCTTTTTTGTATGCGCCATGCACTAAACTTCTACTCAGATTCTGTGCAAAACTCACCGCTTCACATCCACTGCCAAGAGACAACGATTGCTCACCACCTGCCATTCCAATAGTAGCGAAGCAACCAACACCACTAAAAACCTTCACTCGATTCAATGCTGTAGAGCTCTCCGTGAAGTCGATACAGGTACGATCACGGATAAATTGAAGGGCATCCTTCACGATCCCTCTCATTCTGGCACCTAAATAAAAACGTCTTTTCCCTAGTCTGTACGGTAATAGACCGGAATGAAACCAGCCGTTATCATTATAATTGACTAATTCAAGGAGTTTGTGTACCAAAATACCTTTTCCCAAGCACTGAATCATCATATGAGCAAGACAAAGAAATTGGGAGACGAGAATGTTTTTCAGAAACTCAAGAAGTTACCCCTAGACCTTCAGTCCAACTTTACGCACGGACACTTCCCGTTCCTCGCCCCTCCGGTAGTATTCCCAATGTAGGTTACCGATTTCTTGCTACGCAGTTGATCCGCCAGGTGCCATACCACGACATTACCTAACCTTCTTGTGATACCCTTTCATGATTTCTGTTTGAAGGTTCCTTCAAATGTCGATATAAAAGTTTGCTTTTGGTCTAGTCTCTATGGTAAGCGCGGAACTCAAAACACACCATCGCCACACGTGCTATAAATAACAGAACAAATTTTACTTACCAACGCTACTATCAAAAAAGTAGAATAGCCGATTATTTGCCCATCGACGAGCACCACGATCGACTTGACGTTTCTGGCGAGCTACGCTCTTCTTCGGATTTATATTAGCTTCAAGCCAACCTAGTTGTTCTCTGAAAAGCCAAGTCTAAGCCCAAAATAAAAAACAAAATGTGGCTTTTCTCTCTCAATTTGAAAAATCTTCTCAATTTGAAAAATCTTGAGTCTTGATCATTAACTACTTCCAACTACCAGAGCATGGTAAGTCTTCAAGCTTCATGAAGATAGGGTAAAATACTCATAACGTACTCTGTAAGATTGATGTCTCCCTGGAACAGATACTCAGCGATGCCATCGGCCTCATTAATCTCTTCAATACTGGCCTCAGCAGCGATGATGGTATCGTTAACTTCAGCTGAGACCTAAACGTTACTGGACATTCAATTTCACAACAGCTCTATCGCGTTTCTGAGCTTGAGTGCGTCTTCTCCATAGAATATTAAATTAAGGAGCTGTATATAACTACAAAAAANAAAAAACTGTGAGCAGAAACTTACATTTTCAATAATCTTTTTGGATTCTTCCGGAACTTTCGTTTTAGGTTGAATTTTTATTCCGAAATAGAGTTCGGCTAGATGTTCCAATTGTTCATGTCGCTTTTCCAAGTCTACTCCTCTCAAGGTCTGAAGACGTCAACGTTACTTACAGGAATGAAAATTGTATTTTCTAACAGTACTAACCGTGTATCTGAATGTAATCGTAAATATTACATGATTATTAAAGCCAATAACTTTTACGGATGTGGTTCTACTATTTAAAGGACGACGTTGAAAAGGTAGAACGGCTATGTGCAGCAGTAGAGGCTACAACTACTGCTAAAGCCTTTTAAAACTACTCAGGCAGTGAGTCGACTCCAACCCATGCCTTCTGATTCCTTCATGTTATCAAAGGATTTCTTAGCGTAACGTAAGCTGGTATAGTTTAAGTATTAAGTCTTATTCCCCAGAGAGCCCCAAGAAGAAGAGAACAAGTAATCGACAATGACTTGACACTACGAAACAAACCATAAAACCCAAGTGTCAATGTTATGTATCATTATTTTTTTGGTTTTCCATTCGTGCTTTCGCTTTTCTTAAGTTGAGAAGGTCCCTAAGCCATTTCGTACTAACTCTTCGTAACGAAGCCCGTCCTCTTGCTGTCAGGCTGAGGCCGTCCTTGGCAAGTGATAGTATGGTGAAGATGAGAGCTGCGCCATGAAGCAGTCCTCGCCTCATTTCTGCAAATGCGTCCTTTGGTTTTATACTTTGCCGCACGATGACTATTTCATTAAGCAATTTTTGAAGTTAAAAATAATGTCTGTTGGAGTAGGAGAGACCAAAGAGTAAGAGGATGTGATCAAAAGAGACTTTCCCAGATAGCAAACGTCAGTGTCAACGTCCACTTCACTTTACTCGGACAATTTATTGAGTGTTACTAGGTCACATAGAAGAATACAAGCAGGGAACCGACAAGTAATCACTTATTCCTGGGAACTATTTGGTTTTTGGGTGCCAAGCCACAACGATTCATTTAACGTTTTCAAAAGTGGAACGGAAACGAGCTTCCAGGATTCTATTCCACCGAAGGTCAAGCCGATATATTACGGTATTTGAGGATAGTGAACCTTATCGAATAAGGAAATGGAATGAATGAGATGGAAGCATAACTCTAGACGGTTAGATGGTAGAGTAAGTGATACGTCAGCGAATTTATACGTCAAACTCAGAGTGTACACAGTTGTGCTTACTGACAAGCATCGGTTATTTTCCGATTAAGAACAATAACTTATTTGTTCTCGATGAATTTTTGACCTCGTCTGAACAAATAACTCGTGATTCGTTTCCGATCAGTCGGCCCATATCAGCTCGAAATGCTGTTGACCATGACGAATCAAGGAATGCCCAACTTCCCGTAGAAAAAAGTTCATGAACCCTAGATTCTGAGCATAGCAATCACTCAAGAAAAATGATTGGATCTTAGTGGAGGTAGAACAATAAACTAAAAATTTAGGTTCGCTTTATTTGATCGGATCCAGAGTAAAACATGGACTTCTTTTACTTTTTAGCTATCAGCACCGGGTTCAGTGCGATTCATAAATCTCGCCCACCTTTTGGATATCATCATCGGCATGGAAACTCAATAAGGAGAAGACCTGAGAGGAAAGTACGGAGAAAAATTCTTTTTCTTATACTCAAGCTCTTTCCATCTCGGCATAGTTGGCCACGAATTTGATGTGCCCTCTGTCACAACCCTATGAGTTTGAACTCGAACAGCCGAGCCAATTCATGTTAAGTAAAGCACGAGCCTATCCACTTAGGACACCTTTTTTTCCAAACAGTAAACAGGTAAACAAGCGCTCAACGTACCTTCTACACTACCCCTTTAGGTTTTCCGAAAATTTGTCCATCTTCTTTCTTCTCATGGCTTTTACGTTTACGGAAAGGATGCCCTTGGAAAGCATCCCGTCTGCAAATCGATTCCTGGAACTTCTCGCCTTTTTTCAGGTAGTTTTTCTAGCAATTACTGCATATAATGAGGTACTCATTGAGAAGCACTTTCAAAAAGCACCCGCAACGACTCCTAGAACTATCTGCTGGCTAGGATTTTCAGCTTCGGTGAATTCCCTTCCACGAACCGACACTTTGAGGAGCTCATAAAGTCACAGCGTCACACCAAACATTGGTAAAAAAAGTTTTTTTTTTTGAATAGAAATTTACGAATCTGCAAAGGAACTTCTAGAAACGACGAAACAATTACAATACAACGATAAACACCCATGAAAATAAAGCTTCTTAAGACTAGACTATAAACTAACTATCGAAGTTCTAGTCAGGAAAAATAAAATTCCAAAAATCTCTCTCCATTCATATGTCATATGTGGATGATGTATGAAAAAAAAANAAAAAAAAACAATTTTGATATCATGTTGTACTTTTAAGGGAATATGTATATCCAATGGGTACAGTTCTTTTTCCTTTGAGTTTCAGCGAACTTTCAGCTTCTTTAGTTGTTCGCGTTCAGAATTGCTCTCGGCCGGTTCACATTCGAATGACGCCAGCATGGACTCTGAAATTCAGATGGAATTATTTTATTTATTTGCTATTTGTTCATTGTTATTGAAAAAGGAGTTCAGTCAAGTCGAGGAATCACAATGAGTGGTGACACTAGGGGATCGGAAGCCTATGGGCAAGAACTAGAGCCTCACAACCTTTCTGCAATACCTAAACAGGGAACCAAGGAGAACCCAACGTCACGGTTAGCTGAAGCCAGAGTTTACGGTAGCTCGATTTTGAGCATCTCTTGATCTTTTTTCAATCACAAGCACCATCAGTAGGAAGCTCAGTGACCTCAAAATTCTCACCTACCTGCTCGGAGCCTTTGCTTATAAAGTCCTTGGCCTAGGAAAGGTAAATGAAAAAAAATTCTCACAAAAAACAACAAGAAACGCAAACGGTTAGGATCACCAGTTGGTGGAACNATGCCCAAGACAGGAATCGAACCTGTGTCGCCACGGCCACAACGTGGAGTACTAACCACTATACTACTTGGGCCGATAGACAACTTGGAAGCGCGCCTTACCGATCAAGTTCTCACTCGAGAAGTTGGGCTAATTTTATGGTCAGGGTATGAGTGCTAAACAAACTAGAGGCGTAGTCCCTAGAGAACGCGATTAATATCTGGGAGGGGAAGGCTTCGTAATAATTGAAAAAACAGCGAAAAGAGTTTTTGAAGGGGAGTGGCATTTATGTAAGCACAAAGATCCCTTCATCCGTCAAAATAATCGAAAATTGAAAAAGACTGTAGAATTCAATACCTCTCTCACTGTAGAGCAGTGAAACCAGCAGATACTGTAGAACAGATGCGTTCTTAGGGAACGAACAATGAGCTGCTTTCCATTGTACCACTGACCGTAGTTGCTCCGAGATTTGAGAGAAAGCCTGAAAGAAATTTTGCGGTCTGTTATTGTAGAGAATTTCAGGGAAGCGAAATTTCAGTGAGGTCCGCACTTTTTTCATCGAAAGGAGATTGACCAATTTTTATCGCAACTTCTACTTCTCAGTGTGAGCCACCCATTCAACTACCACCCAACTTGTTGAGACAGTCGAGGTCGCGAAAACTAATCCAGCTTTTAGGCCCGAGCAATTTTACTAAAGTTGTTCACTGAACCTAGTTAGCTATTCAACTTCGAAACAGCATAGTCAAGTGGCCAGCGAAGGCTCGATTTACATATGACAAAGGTGGTATTTGGTTGTTTTGCTGAATAGGCCACCCTAACTTCTGTCTAAATCCCCGTTGTATCAAGTGTCTCGACTTAGAGCTAACATATCTCATGCTATGGCAGGGACAGATCCTCCTCGGTATTGACTCTCCTATCAAAAGGTCATCCATCGTAACAGAAATGTAAAGAATGAGTGTAATCCATCATCAAAAGTGCAATTTTTGATTGAATTCTGACAAGCTTGAGGTCTTGTTTCTAAAAATAGTAGTGATATTCTTTTTTTCCTCGCTTGGATAGTATTCAAATGTAATACATAATCATCGAAAATTTCCAAATTTCAATCGGAAGAAAAACGAAAAAGCAGCCGAGTCATTGAACCAAAATGGACTTCAAAAAAAGTTGTCTAGACAGACTATAAATATTGACTTTCCTTTGATTTTGCTGAATTTTCACTGAACCTGTTAATTTTTCAATTCATAGTCAACTTGTTTCATATTTTAGTTCACTTTATTCTAGTCCCACGGTATATATCTGCAGCATAGCATTTTCCCCTATCAGTACGACTTATGCTGACAAAAGTAAAACCAATAAGAGGAACCGTTCCAAGCCTACCGATTAAATATATTGTCAAAGCTCGAATCTTGCCCATGTCAACTAATAATTCTTGTATTCGCTCAGAAATCTCATACCATACTCGCAGGAAAGGGAGCAACCCTTCACAGATTTCCTGAAGACCTTGTCTCAGCTAGAGTCCCACCTATTCAATTAATAATGCCCTTCAAAGTTAAAAGTAAAAGTGTGGCGCACTCTTCATGCAGCTGCAGGGTCCTTCGCCATTTTCAATTATTATTACAGGATGGAAATGGACTTCAATACTAACCACAAAGTTCAGATGGCCATTGGGAAGCGTTCGAAGGCTGCCATGATAGACGAGAAACAAATCCTTCAACAGCAACACAAAGAATGGTATCACAATCTGAAAATGACCAACTGTTATCTTCACTTTTTCTCTTTTTCTACCTCATTTCACTAATATACTGATAGATATCCCTCTGGAAATGCCTCAACCAGAAATCTAGTATTTGGATGAACCACCTAGACGGAGAAGCTCACCTTCTGAGAGCTACCGACAGTCTCAGCTCGCCATTGAGCGGCTTTCATGGTTGCTCGATATGAGAGGAAGTTTCCAGTAGGATCTAACTGATGTTGAAGAATCTCCAGCTTGGACTTTTCCACACGGGACCACTGAAAAAAAGGAAAATGACGGGAGGTCACAAATCGTGCGGATAGTACAGAACCCCTGTTTAGTTGTGTTATAATCCTGGACAGTGCTTTCTAATTCGTTTCGCTATCGTTCGTGGATCTACGAAGAGAAGGTGGAAGGCTGGGATTTTAAGTCGCGAGAATCGATAGTAATGCACTTCGACGATTCAACTCTCTTTAAGTTGCCAACTCTACTCGAGTTCTCTTATTGTTTCACACTCTTCTACTTGCCCAGAGGAATTTATGCTTCCTAAAACCTCTTCAAGTAAAATCTGGACTACCGTAGCAGTGCTGCGGAAAATTCATTCAAAACTCACAGTTCGTTTCAGCCTGGTGACAGCCGGGAGTGATAGTCCAGCAACAATAGCCATGAGACTGTTGAAGTTCCCAATTTCACAACACTCTTTGGCCACATCGATAAAGTACTCGATTACCTGAAATCGTAGATTCTACTAGTCTTCATCTTCCTAGAGCCCATCAACTTAACCTAGGCGCCTGAATCAGCTTCAACTCTATCCCTTTTTCCTGGTTCCTAGTTAGCTGGAGTTAGAAGCCACCCCTTAGGAGTGGTTTCTCGTGTTTACCGCTTCAAAAGAATTCTCGAACGTTAACGGTATTAGCAGCAACTTTGTCAGTTTATAAAAATTTTATTTTCGGGAATTTTCAGATGCAAGCAATTGAAGTTCCTTGTTGGATAAGTCTAGCTTTCCCACTGACTCTTCTGGAAGTCTTCCTAGGTATCCACCAGGTCAAACCAACCAACCTCGACTCTGTGCTTCTTTTTCAGCTGTCGCAGTACCTCTGTGGCGGCAAAAGAGGAAAGTCGATTGAACCATTCTATATAAAAGGCGATGGAACCCGTCGGACCATTCTAAACGAAACATTGGTATTACTAGTCAGTTTTTCATTTAATTCTACTTCCGAAAACTGTATTTTCTCCAAAAAAAATCGATAACTTGAAACCATAAATGCAATAATATATGTAAAATATGTTTTTAAGAAACCAGTGAAAATTACTGGGATCAAATTTTAAAAAACGAAACTCCATGAACAACTAATTGGATAGAAACAACCTGAAATGTAATCATCAGCAATAAATTTTGATAACTATTTATTATAATAAAGAATAAACTGTAATCGGAGAAAGCGTGCAGAGTTCTGTAAACGTACCCGATTTCGTCCCAAATCAGCCAGATCGTTATTCGCCAGTGCCAGCAAAATTTCATCGACTCCTACCATACTGAATCGCTCCTGGAAACTCAACCATTAATAGCCAGGTTTAGAAACTTAAAATTTTATTGAATTACTCTAATTTTTGACCACATTTTATGATCTTTTGCCAAAACTTCAACTATTTGTAAGCTTACCATTTCAATGTGGGTCAGTTGATGGGCGATCACTTTCGGTTCATCACAGACCGTAATTAGACCACACTAAACATTGAGGTATATTTTTCTAACAAATGAAAAAATCAGCTGACTACATTTCCATATAAAAACCTTGATTCTCCCACAACTCCCTAGATATTATAGTATAGCAACTCAGAGAACATTTAGGAGCAATAATTCGGAAAAAAAAGATATGATACCCTTTTCCTCAGTTGGTAACCAGGACATCAGATATTACGACTACAGGAAGTCTGTTTTTCAGTGAACCTAACCTATTTAGCCCTCGTAATCCCGCCCCTTTCACAAGCCGCACCCTCGAACGTTATGAGTAGAGACAAGTAGTTACCTTATCGTGAAAATTAGTGAGATGGGGAGCATAGGAAACAAAACTCTTAGTCAGAACTTGAATTTCATGTCTAAATAAAACCTTGGGAACCCAAGTAAGCCAATTGAAACTGACAAAGACGAACTCAAAACTAAACAGTAACACTTCCTTACCAGAATATCCGCTTGAACTGGTCGCTGTGTGCTCTCGGCCAATGTCTTCTGGAGATTCTTAACGGCTTTGTTATATCGATCCAATTTGCTGAGCTGGAATCAGTACAGTAATCGGAGGCTGCCAAAAAAGGAACAAAAATTATTTTAAAAAAACAAAATTAGTAAAGGCATCGTACAGTGGAACGTAGGGACGCCTCCAATTCAGCTGCTCTTTGCTTGTACGTTCGATCAACAGCACACATTCCAAGCAGTTCACTCAGTCTGGCAAAGAAGAAACCTTTAGTCGGAACGTTAATCAAATAATACGATCTATCAAAATTTAAAATATAATTAGCTATAATATTACTTCGCAAATCAATTCCATCCGAGATAAAAGTAAAAATTATAAATCAGTCTTGTCAGGAAAAGAATTTTTTCCCTGACTTAGCAAACTTGGGTTAGAAAAAAATGGTATGCGCCTTAGCCCGCTTACCCCCATTGTTCACAATTTTTTGGGACCTCCCCCCTTTCCCCTTTTTCTCTCCCGCTCCTTTCACGACCCCACGACAGTACACAAGTGCTTCAAAATTTTACTTCCTCTGTTCATCTCTATATAACCATGTGTGAACTGAATATTTGTAATCGATCAAAGCCTAGCTTGCCCGGACATCGCCGTGACATACAACGCGTCTTGTTCCAGACCGTGACCTTCGTTTTCATATTATTTTTTGAGTATTGTGTAGCAAACGGTGATGGTATAAATCGACACAATGGGTTTAGAATTTCTTTTGTGCAACTTACTCGGAAAATCAGTAAAATCCAATTACCTGGTTCGCATATGTTCACTTCTGAAGTCGTGCGGTATACTGGTAACCCATTCACGGCAAAGACGAATTAAATGGGAGAACATACGATCTCGACCTTCACGACAGAAATTAACCGCATCCGCATTTTGTGTGAACATGCATTGCTGAAAGAAAGAACTTATCTAGTGGCCAGGTTAACTGAGGATGAAGATGCCTCTGCTAAGAAACGATCGACTTTTAGATGAGGTCCAGACTGAAATTGTGCTTAAATCGTAAGGCCTTTGTCACCTGGTCCTAACACATTTCTAGGACAAAGGNGGGAGGGGGGGGGGGGGGGAGAAGGGGGGTGAGGAGATTTTCGGAAATACGTGAGAAATGTTTTTATTGCTTCTTCCTCTTTATTGTTTTATTTTTCTTAATTTTCTACAATTTTAAAAAACAAGTTTACATCCAGTAGATCTTAGTTCTTGTCTCGCTCGTGACGTAATACGTTAAAAGCCCTTCTCGGGCATTTCTATGTTGACTATTCTCGTAGTATCTGTCAAAGCAACATGCGTCAACTGCCCATACATCATATTCGTCGCGGAGTTTCCTCCAGGGAATTCCCGAAGTCCAAAAGTGAACGGATGATCGTAAAACAAGCTGACAAGGAACCATCACAGAAGTACCTATGGATCGAACGTTGTCGGATTCTCTCACAGGGAATGTGACATAACGTTGCATAATGAAAATCCCAGTGAAGGTCAGCCAACCAGTGGAGGGAACGATTCAGCGAAGGATGTGAAGAGACAAGGTGTTTCAAAAGAACCCTTTCACTTTCAGCTTTAGTCGATACGTATTGTTTCACTGCTACCACCCCATCTTCTCTAAAACGTCGAAATCAATGGAGGAACTAAAAACCAAAGAGAGCCTAGTGCATGGCGCACTCCATCCCAGTCAGCTGAGATCACCTACGCTGTGCACTTTTTATACATCCTATAGATTGTGTCTCAACCAAGCAAACCCTGGCACGCTCATATAAGTATCCC